AGGAAATCATATAAATTATATATCTTCTTTGAAACCAACTCTAATCACAGAGACAATCATGACTTTACTTCTAGATTCATAATTTGTTTCTGTCCCTGACTCACTATAAATATAATGGAAAGAAAGAGAGTTTTTCTAGTTGGTTAAGTAAAATTATTTTCAAATTGCTTTGGAGATAGGGCAGTAAAGGAAAGGAAAAGTGAAACCAGGTAATCACAATTGGTGTGCAAGCATATGAGTATTTCAGACTTTCCTTATGCTGTCATGAACATGAAAAATGGAAGCATTATATAAATAGATTCAAAATGGAGAATTTTAGTCTGCTGGAAAGTGTAGCACATTTTGTGTGCCCACAGGAAAAGAGAATTAAAAAGATAATAACCAAACTGTACTATTCATATGCATGCACTTGTCAAGATAATTTCTGATGTCAAAGCATGCTGTTAAACATTGACTTTAGATCCACAAACATATTGTTCCCCAAGAGGAAGACAATACATAGTGAAGATCACTTTTGCTAGATTGTCCAGATTTTAAACATAGAAATTATTTAAAATATTTTACACCCTTTGAAAAAGTAAAATGTCCCATAATTGAAGCAAAGTGTTTTCCTTGGTTTACTATATCTAAATAATGCCCCTATTTCTTTACATTTTTTCCAGAATATCAAAAATAATATTTTATAGTAAGTATTAGTAAATATTAATTAGCAGTTAATTATAAGTAAATATTGGCAATGGAAATAAATATCACTCAGTATTTAAAGAATTTAGAGGTATGAACGAATCCCATCTACCACACAGTAACACTCCACACAGTCTGAGATATAGTAACACAGCTCCTTTTTAACACCACCAAAAACTCACTACTTCACAATACAACTCTAGTTGCTTAAAAATACGCAGTAGAAATCTGTCTCCCTAAAACATTCACTAAATCCTTGACATTACCTCTAGATTAGGCTCTTTCCAGCATAGTATGAAATCCTTGCATAGAATCAGACCCCTCCTGGGGATTCAGTGGAATAATGGATTTTTATATATTCAAAAGAAAGGCCTTAAGCAAAATAGGGGTTTCTCCTGACACAGATCATCTGACCAGCCTCCAAAAGGTCTCCCAGACTGTAATGCACCATGGGGAGGGTCCGGTCCTCCAGCCAACTGGTGCAGAAATTTTATCTTAGAAAATCCCAGAACTGAGCTGGCTGAGGAAAGCTGACCTGTGCCCAAAACATACACAGAAATCCAGAACCAATCAGTCCCCACAAATGAAATATATAACCGTCAAATAGATAAGATATTTAGATGGCACTGTCAAAGCCATTCCCAATTTGTAGGCTACACAGACTGGTTAGAGAGCAGAGCCTCAGAATGAGAGAAATGTGCTGACTAAGCAGCTGATAACAGCATCAGACCCTAACAGTCCCGCTCATCCATCCCTGCCCCTGGGACTCTGAGTCTGCGCGTTGAAGTTGGCTTCTCGGGGCATACCACCCTGGGGAGCATTTGAACAGAAAACGACCTGACTTTCATCAGCTTCGTTTGCCAAGCTCTAACCCTTATCCAAAGGGAAACAGTCATTCTCAGACATATGGACGGTTATAGTCAAATTGTACACTGTCGTATTTCTGTTTGGCTCCATAATGTGTTGCTTTGATAGATTAATTACCTGAGTGACATTTACTTCCAGCTTTTAGGGGGAGAGAAGGCAGGGGTAATGGCAGGCGCACACACCACACACACACTGCCCTCTGGGCTATGTTAAGTTTCTGAATTACTATGCCTGCCTCAGCCTCTTTTCTACCTACTTACCTTCCTTGATTTGTGGTAAGGTAAAGCCTTGCCGTTTGCGGTTCCCTCTGTCTCTTTGGCTGCCAGTCTCTTTCCCTGAAAAGACCAGGGTAGAAACAAAAGCATGTAGCTGTGTTTCAGAGCAGCCCACTTCTACGGCTCTTAACTGGAGTGTGACTAGCAATGGGCATGCAGCCCTCTTAGCTCTGCTGCAAGTAGCTCAGATCATACCAGAAATTGTTTCTTAAAAGGGTCAGGATCTCTTTCAGAACAAACCATTGGTAAACATTTAAACAGGAAATTGGTTAAGGGTTTTAAACAAAGGCATGAAGAGTTCCTTCCATTGTCACTTTCTCTCTTAGAAGAAAGAACACAACCGATACATTAAACCTCTTAAATGGAGGACAGAAAAATTGATGTCTAAACTGTAAACCACTAGAGGGAACATACAGACTTCCAAAGTATTGTTTTTATATGATTTTAAATCTTAAATGCTTTGTATTGCTTGAATACCAGTATCACAAATACTAGTGTCCATACACATATTTGGTTGGGACGTTGGATTTTTATGTTTCTACTCTACTTAATGTAACTGAAACTCATTTCTAAAATTTGCCTATTGCATTACTGAAAGTGTTACAGATTCATGTTTTCAATCAACTGATTTACTTGGTTGGATTGACTATAAATTTGTTGACATATATTGATGATTCTTCATTTTCTTTCTCAGGGATAATTTCTTCCACTCATTTATTTTTAATCTCTCTAACGTTCTTATTTGACAGCATCCTATGAGCAGCAGACACTATCCACAGAGCACTCCAACCTCATAGGAATGGTGTAAACTAATTAACAGACTTTAGGATGGAGACTTCCCCTCACATGTAATCATCCTGTCTGGATAATGAACTTTGTGAAAATACCCAGCTCTTACTATACTAAGTCAACAGCCTCACTCAAATGAGCCCTTATTTCGCCCTTGGACTTGAGGTCATAATTGTGGATATGGTAAAAATCCAAAAAAAAAAAACCATAAGGAGTTGAGGAATAGAGTTAAAAATAGTCTAAACACTGGATTTTTAGTTAAGAAAATTTTTGATTTTCCTTTGCAACTGAAAGAAAGAAAGATCGCCTTCATAAAATGTGTTTGAAGAAATACTGTGACTGAAATGACAGCGTGTAACTGAAATGTAGGGATGCTACAGAAAATTCCCTTGTGTGTGCAGGTGTGCAGAAGCACTGAAGGATTACTAACAAATGTTAAATAGAAGTGATGAATAGTTTGCTATGGCGAGAAGATCCAGAAATAAGAGTGAAAATCAGTGCTGGTTCATTATATCGGCAGTGGGGCTGGCTAGCCTTTAAACAGCAGGTGCATGGTTTGACCGCACTAGGTTGTGGCCCGCCAACTGTGGCACAGAATGAGCCCATTCTTCTCCATGGATTCATGAATGACCACAAGCCACCCCAAGGGTGTATCTGAATACCATAGTTGCCCTGCTTCTATTTTATCACATGTTCCCATAATGGAAATTTCCCCCAACATTCTCCATTTCAGTTTTGGTGTTTCTGGTGCAATTTGTTACCAAAACATCGTGACAAAATTCCGAAGCAGCTTGGAAGAATGGGAGAAACCAAGAGAAGAAGTTGTGTATATTCTTAGTCTTTTCCATGGAAGTGCTTCATTCAGTTTAATGATAATTATCAAACTAGAGATATTATAATGCAAACAAAATATCATCTAAAGAGGTAAAGAGACATATGACATGGAACAAATGAATGATATAAATGTCATCTTCAGTCACTACAGCATTTATGATAAATCTTTTATTACTTTGGGTATGTAATTTGAAATACTAACCATCATTCCAATGGACATAAATATCCCTACACAAGAAAGCACTTACAATATTTAACAATTTACTTCAAACTTTAATGTTTTACAGATGACACCTAGATCTTGAAGTGTATTGATATTTTACAGCTCTACTAAACATAAATAATACATGTGTCTCATTCACTAATACCAAAGGCACATTTTATTCTCCTGATGAATATGCTCATAATCCATCATGGCCAGTAAAATTATAAGGATAGAGTATAACAACAACAAAAAAAACTATACCCCTATATGTTAACAATAAAAAAATAATGTATTTCACAAAAATACTAATTCAGTCTCAGTCTTCCATTACTGCTGACCCATTACTGTGCTGTGAAAGAGTATTTCTCCTGTGTTTAGGCAATAATTTTAAAGTATGTCAGTTCTCAGATTATAGCAGACTCACAAAAGACAAAACATTTTATTATAAAATAAATATAAAGAATCAAAAGACTACTTATAGACAGCATTACAGATATGAAGCAAACATATTTGGACTAACAAAGGTCTGAAAAAAATGTTTTCATATCATTCATTATAGAACACAGGAAAGCAAGTAAAACTTGCTAATGACTGAGGAAGGGGTTAAGGTTAGAAAACAAGTTTTTCCTTTATCATAAGTTTAAATTTCACATAACATTGTTAACATAGGCCAAATATTATGCATTAAAATACATTTAAAGCCTTCAGTATGTACTGTTAGTATCTACACAAGTGATTCTGAAATAATGTTTGCTCTTTCAATAGCTTTATTTTGGCAAAAAGAAAACATATGGATGCTAGTAAAATTCACATTCACAGAAGATGAAAAAAGCCTGAAAGAATACATTTGTTGAAATTTGCATTTTGTTTTGGAAAACTTCTGTTTAACGATTGAATATGGTCATATTTTAACTTCTAAGCTTCCATATTGACAAAGTATCAAGGTATTGCAGCAATTTACTTTTAGGGACATTATGCTGAGCTTTGAAATTCAAAATAATAGGATATTTCTTCTTGAATTATTTTATGACCAATGTACAGTCTCTACACAAGGAAAATTAAAGCTGTCTGACAACTCATAGGAACATCACTGGCTGTTAAATATGTAAGAAATTTCCTAAAAGCATGAAAAGCACTGGGTAGTTTTGCAGTTTCATCTCTAAACACAATTGCAAAGATGTCTGTCTTTCAGTTCCTTTTTCCTCTTCCTTCTGAAGCACAGCCTTTTAGTTCTTGCCCTTTTAAATATCTTTGCCCACTGTGGCCTTTATGCTTAATGTACTGGTTGATCTTACCTGGCTGAGAAAGTATTTACAGGGGATGCTTGCTTTTATCTGTATTCACAGAGAATGCTAACAAGTTAGAAGAAAGTGCCAGAGAACACCACATCCCCTGCCCAGAACATTACAATGGCTTCTGCATGCATGGAAAGTGTGAGCATTCTATCAATATGCAAGAGCCATCCTGCAGGTAATGTTTTCACTCTTTAACTTTTAAAACTTATAAAGTAAAAATGTAGGAACTAAATTCTGGATGTTTGCAGGCTGCCTTTCTGCCTGAATGGGTGATTGGCAGCAAAACTTTTCTCTGCCTCTTCTACAGGTGCCCACTAGAAAAATCACAAAATGTGTGTGCCTTATACACCCAAATACTGTGTAGCACATCATTTTATATATATATACTCTTCTAATATAAGTTTAAATTGCACTTGGGTATAACAAGCTTCTTAAAGGTGCTGCTCTGTTTTATTCACTGCTTTTTTCCATGGACTTAGAACAGCACTGGGCACATATCGGGTACTCAGTAAATATTTCTTCAACAAATGAATGGGTGAGGTCTTATTGCACATAGGATAACATGGATACTTTTTTTTTGGTGGGGCGAGTCACCTTTTCCGAAGTCCTTCAAGTCTTCTAATAATTACGTCAGTGTTGGTTTGCTAGGCACACACTCTTCCCTAAGGATCTGCTGTGCACAAGCCTTCTAAAGGGGGACTATTAACTGCACCTCCACTCATTCAAATTCAGTTGAGATACAAAGAATTTGCTTGTCTGGAGTTAGTTAATAAATATAAATATTAGCTGAATATTCATGAATAGAACATAATTATTTCAGAGATGGTAAAACCAAAGTGAAAAAAAATGTGTTTTTATTAAAAGAATATACAAATGACATATGATGAAATAGTTTGTGTATTGCTATACAGTGAAAGGACTTTCTCTTTTTCTCCTTTCCTATCCTTCTGTCTTCTCCTCTTCCTTTTCTTCTCTTCCCTTTTTACTCTCTTTCTCTCTTTCAAGAACTGTCTCCCATTCATATTTTCCTTCAGTGAACACACTAGCACCTGCCTTCCAGTGAAGCCGGGTGGAATGAACGTGACTCAGAGGTTGCTTCTGCTCCCTCTCATCCTCAGCAGAGATGCCATTATTAAAGCCTTTGAAGACAGGAAGGAATTATCCCAGGATGTAGGTGTGAGAAGTTCAGTGTGAAGTACTTAGAACAGTTGCACAAAGTCAGTGACAAGTTGATCCCTGTTAGTATTGTTTTTATGTGAGCTTTCTCCATTTCATTTCCAAGTGCTGATTTGAACACCCAGATTGTCTCCCTGAGCTTTCTGAGAAGGGTTGAGTGAGTGAGAGGCAGTGTTCATTCTCACATGAACAGTACATGGGCTCATTTTGCAGAACTATATTGTCTATGTCATAATTACAGTTTTTCTGCTGAAATTTAACTAACACAAGCAAACAATACTATGACCAGCATATTAAAGAAATTACTCTTATTGTAACTCTGGCCCTAATATTTCTAGACACTTATTCTAAGATTAGCACAGAGAATGCTTTATCCAAAAAAAAATAAAGAAATCAATAAATAGCCCTATTTTTTATACCCATGTCATCATAAACAAACCTTTTGTCAAGTAATCATGTTGACTTAGGTTGATTAAAGAGCAAATAAATAAAATATAAAACTCACCTGAAAAAAATATACAAAGAACAATTATCCCTGGTCATCTATTGTCTCTCTATATTATCATCACGAATTATTTACCAACCCTCCTGTCTTCAAAATCTATTATTGTGTAAGTATAAAAAGAAACCATGTATCTTTGAAACCAAAAGTGCAAGGAGACTGTGATGAAAATAAGAAGCTGGGAACCATATCTGCAAAGTAGCATTTTTTTAGGAGAGGGAAATAAAAAGCCTTAATTTCATGGTGAAGGTAAATGTCAGTCAACTAAAAATGAGTCCAGCAGCTGCAAGTAATGGGACACTATCATTTCTTCCAGGTGTGATGCTGGTTATACTGGACAACACTGTGAAAAAAAGGACTACAGTGTACTGTACGTTGTTCCCGGCCCTGTTCGGTTTCAGTACGTCTTAATTGCAGCTGTGATTGGAACAATTCAGATTGCTGTCATCTGTGTGGTGGTCCTCTGCATCACCAGGTCAGTAACTCAGTGGCCACCCAAATAAAGGCATGTGTGGTTCCTCCTTGTCTTAATCAGTTCACTCTAATTACAAGTCCCTTCATGGACTCTGCAAGCATCCGTTCTTTGGAGTCCTATTTCCTCATCATAACAGCATTTAAAGAGGCAAACGAAAAGATATTGACATTCATGCAGGAGTGGCACAAATCATTTTCCTTATTTCTGCATTATGAGAAGGATTATCTGTTTTCCAAAGGCTTTATTTTACTTTCTAATGTGTAATGCCAATTTTTGTTTAAATATGCTTTTCTTTTTCAACTATAAAAAAGTTTTCATTCAAACTACTAACAGAGTATTTCAATGGCCAGCATTTCCTTACTTACCCAGATCAGTATGCCAAATGAGGTCAGAATAGGTTTTATACAAGACTAGAAAAGTATTAAATTATAGCTCTCATTTATGGCATTTATATTTCCAAATATAACTCTCAGATATAATCATTTTTAAATATTTGTTATAAGCAACAGATACATTTTATCTTAACAAAATAACTTTTAATCCCAGAATTAAATGAAAATAGTTACAATGAGAAAGATCAAGTTATAGTATATGAAAATCTTTGATATATGGAAACAGGCAGCAAATATAACATCGAGTTTTTATATCAGACCCTCAGAACAATCAAATGGTAATTGTTTCTTGGAGAGCTAGGTTGAGAGGGATACACAGATTTCATCCAGTTTCAACAGGGAAGAAAACTATGATTCATTAGTAATGTCTGACACTGGGCTTGGAGTAAAGGGGTAAGGCCAGGAATTATTTAACTTCATTAATGTGTAAATTCATGTGATCAAGAATTAGATTCTAAACCAAATACATATTATTTATGTGCTGTCCAACAAGAAACATTACTGAAGATATACTTCTTCCCAACCTGATTTCACTCTCCTTGACAAAAAAGTTCCAGGAAGTTTTTCAAGGTTTTTGCCAACTTCACAAGGCATTTAGACTTTCATAGGTTTGTGTAGATCTACAGTAAATCAGAATGTTTCCCAAAAAATTATTTTCAGGACACAAGAAAATAAAAGAAAGTATCATATCTTCAGAAAATAAAGGCCATAATACATCTCAGTATCTGTATTGCACTAACTTCTTTGAGGACAAGTGTGGCATTTGCTCTTGAAAAAGACAAAATACGGTTCATAAATCCTTGCCTGGCCTAAAGGCTTAAGGGAAGATCATCGACTGGAGCTCTGTGCTGCTCTAAGCCAAGTTGAGTTCATCAACTCCTCTCTCACGTTTAGATGCCAAGAGAGTCCATGGATTATATTAAAATAGATTCTGGGGAACATAAAGATAACTCAAGAAACTAAAAATACTTGGTATAAAATAAAAGAGAAAAGAATTTAAAACACGGGAAACTGTGCCATCTCACTCTAAGAGTCTTGAGCCTTCTAATAGCTAAGCAATATCGGCACATGAAAAACAAAATTTGTATTTAATATAATTCCATAACACTTTTGATTTACTGCTTCAGGTAATGACAAAATTGCAAAACTTTAAATATTTTAGCATATGTTTTCAAGTCTGTTATTAATCATAATGGCATTCCCATACATAATAAAAACAACTGGAATATTTAGGGTCTTTATTTCACCAGAATTGTGTGTATATGTACTATAGAGGTGTGTGTATACATATATTATAATAATGTATGTATACATATATTACAATACATTTAATAATATATATGAAGAATTTATGAAGAATGAACAATTATCCCCATTTTCAAGATAGGGACGCTGAGGAATGAGAAGTCAGCAAATTTCTGGATATCCCAGCTGAGCAATAAGGGCAGAAGTGGAGTCCAGGCTGCGTAGTGTCAGAGCCTGTGCTCGTGAGCTCTGCTCAGCTGCCCCTTGGCTGGTGATGATGTTGTGTATTCTGATGTTCAAGACAACCTAAACTGAGCTCCAAATCACTACAAGCCATTTTTCAAGACATATGTCTGTTTTCATTGTCCGTGTTAAAACAAAACCTATCCTCTATTTACTTTTGAAGAGGAAAAATAGTATGTGAGCTAAATTTGCATGATTGTAATGTATTTTATAAATCTGTCTTAGGATATCCAAGACTTCCAAAGTCTTCCCAGGAGTCATACTAGTCAAGGAACCACACTCTACCCAATGTGGATTCATTTCATTCACATGAAAACATTCTTCTCAAAACCCAGACTTTCCAACTAGGCCATCTCCACCACTCTTTCTAAATCTTCCCTCTTCTGGTGACCTGGCCATATTTGTCTGTTAAGATCTCTTCCAAAATATCCAGTTGCTAAAAGATTTACAAAATTATAACTAGCAGAGGGCTGGTCATCTTCTTCAATTCCCTTTAAACTCTCTATCACCCAGTCCTTGTTTCTACCTCACTCTTGTCCTCTTCCCACTTTCTTTTTTTCTAATTCCTTCCCTTTGTTTTTAGTATTTTAGTGAAATATCTGCCCTTCTTTTAAATACAACATGTGTCATAAAACATATGGATATCTAGAGACCTGTTCTAGAATGAGAAGAGTTGCCCTGTTGAGAAAATGGATTTTTCAATCTTTTTATCCTCATCTCCCATTTGCTGGGAAAGTGGTTTCCAGCTAAATGTTCATTTTGACAAATCTGCCCTCCTCTCCCCCACAAAAAAACCCTGTGTATATACATACTATATATATATATTTATTCATATATAAAAATACGTATGTGAATATATAGTCTGTGATATCTCACAGCTTATTATAATAGGATTTATATGAATTTAATATTGTTTTATTTGCATAATCAAAACATTCTTTTATTGCAAGGAAAAAGATACTAGATTAGAGCTCTTCAGATAATTTGACCAAATATTACCTTTTAATAGAAACTAAATAATTGGTACCAATTTATGTCTGTAGCTTATGATATTAATGTGCAAAAATGATATTAGGCTAAACCAAAATAATATCCCTTTCAATTATGTATCAGGTATTAACAGTTGGCTCATTCTCTGGTTTGATAGGATTTAAACTTGCAGCATTGAAATCTCAATACAACAGTCAACCTTAGGACATTTTAAAATATAAAATTTTTAAAGTGACAGTAGATGAGCTCACGACTTGATTGATTCCATTGTGCTGAGTCATTGTTTGTGCCCTAATTGGTGAGCGGTTGAGGACTAGGTAAATGTGTTCCCCTTCAACTTCTGCCTCTGTTCTTTGATTCCCCGTAGCAGAAGCTTAACGATGACTGCAAGGAGAAGAAAAAAAATAATAACTTCTTCCAAAATAATTCCAGCTTCTACTAATAATAAATTCTTGTGTATGAAATATTTTCCTAATTTGCTGAATCCACAACCTCCCTCTGTGATTATAGGACCAAACTTTAGGTAAGAGCACTGGACTAAGATTTGTAAACTTTCCCAACCTTCTAGGAAATGCCCCAGAAGCAACAGAATTCACAGACAGAAGCAAAATACAGGGCACTACAGTTCAGACAACACAACAAGAGCATCCACGAGGTTAATCTAAAGGGAGCATGTTGCGCAGTGGCCGGACTTCCGGGAGCTTGGACTACCCAATACAGTATTATAGACAAAAGAATAAGACAAGAGATCTACACATGTTGCCTTGCATTTGTGGTAATCTACACCAATGAAAACATGTACTACAGCTATATTTGATTATGTATGGATATATTTGAAATAGTATACATTGTCTTGATGTTTTTTCTGTAATGTAAATAAACTATTTATATCACACAATATAGTTTTTTCTTTCCCATGTATTTGTTATATATAATAAATACTCAGTGATGAGAAAAAATTGGCATTCTTAAATTTGCTGTATCTCATAAGTATAAGTATGATCAAGCTAGCACAATCTGTACAGGTACCAGTATTTCATCTGGCTTCACATCTTGAGACAGAACATTAGTTTATACAGGACTCAGTGGCTAGGGTTTGAGTGATTCCAAGAGCAAGGGAAATGATGGTTATTGGAAAAGAGAAAAAATAATCTATATCAAGTGAGGATAAAATATTTCAGATCTTTGAATCACCTCTATTTCATCAACTTCCTTCCCTGGTCTTCCATTTTCATCCCCAGAGCAGAAAAATCTCTGGCATATAAATTAAATCAAAGAAGAAGGAAAGGGAAAGCGTTTATAACTCATAAAAAAGAGGGAAAGAAGTGTTTTTTATTTTGGAAGCATCTTAGAACCTCCTGGTTAAGTGCATTATATCTGAAGGGTCCTGAACAAGTTATGTATTAGAAGTACATGGAGCACAAAATCTCTCCCATTTAGGTGAGTGGGATTAACAAATAGGGGAAAAATTTAGTAACATATTTAAATGTGAAACACCAAAATCATGGATTCTCAGAAGCACCTTGCTGTATTTATAGTATGTAGCTCTTTGAAAAGAATTTAGAGTCATAACCAAACACCATGAATCGCTTTATGGCTAATGCAGCACCATTATTTGAGATGGAATGAAGATGATGATAATATTTCATGAAAACAAAGAGACATGTTTGAAGTGTATTTATATGATGAGATAAGAAAGAAAATTAATCCCATAGCATCTAAAAGATGTCTCAATGGAAAGTTGGTAAGGATTTTTGAACATACACATAGGTATGATCAGTTTGCTTAAAAGAAAATTAACTGAAAAATTCTCAAAGAATAAGATGAAAATAAATCAAATAATTGCCTTACTATCAGTTTGTTCTTCATACTTTTCTGTGGATAATACAGTAAATCTAAATAAGGGTTTCTTTCTTATGACCTCTAAACAGACTAAAAGTAATGACAATTCCGTGTCAAAAAAAAAGGACAAATATCAAATCAACACATTCTGAAAATAAAATATTCAGTGAAAAGTTTCCTGAAGTGACATTAAAGATATTTGTTGAAACATAAAAAAGGTGACAATTTAAATAGAATTTAGGATTCTGTAAAAAAACCTGGCTTTCTAGGTTAGTCGACACTTTGAAAAGTGTGAAGCTATTGGCATAACCATTACTCAATGTTTCAATAAATTGGCCCTATGTTATTTGTACAAAACAAAGTCCATTTAAACTTCTGCATGTAAGTTTACTTTGGTCAACAGGTGCACAGATATAAGTAGTCCTGATCTCCTTTGAAGACAGTAGTTAATGACAAACCCTTCCCTCTTCTGAAGGAAGTGCAAAAATGCAATATCACAGGGCTTAGTAGAGTGCAAAATAAACAGTCCTACTGACTTTTACTTGTAAGAGTATGAAATGACTTGTTTTGTTAAATATTGATATGTTTACTTTGTGTGAATTTTTATCAAAGGATTGTACACCTTAGTGTTGGAACAATCTTTGGAGTTTAAAAATACAGTACATTCCTATTCACTTGCATGCTCACCGACCCCATAAAAGAATCGTTTTTAAAAGATGCATAATGAATTTTAAGTGAGCACATTCTATGTGCCAGGCACTATTCAAGGTCATAAGGAAATACTAATTAAACATTATCTTTACTCTGAAGGAACTCACAATCTAGCCCTGACAGATAACCATCCAGCCTCTACTTGCATATTTCTTATAATTTGGAATTTAATTCTTAGACAATTCTAACTTTAAGACCATTTTTTTCTCATATTAAGTTGAAATTTACCTCTCTGTAGTTTCCAAAAATGGCTTATCTCTCCTTTCTGAAACAAATGACTAGTGTACTCATGCATTTAAAAATATTAGGATAGATATCTTGTTTTCGCATTCACCCCATGGCCCCTGTGCAAGTCTTTCTTCATCAAGTGAAATGTCTTTAGTCTAATCACATGATATGGTTTTCATCTCCCGCTAGCATCTGCATCATACTTCCTCAGACAAACTCTACTTTGTCAATACATTTCTTTATATGTAGAGCTCAGAATTGCACAGTCTACTGGAGTTGTGTTCTGACCAGCAGAGAATATAGTAAATCTTGTTAAAAGCAAATTTAACTGAAAGCCATGATTTCTAAGTTCAAGTCCTACTTGGACCACAAATTTTCTGTGGAACCATGAGCAAGTCATTTCACATCTCAGATCTCGGTTTCCTCATCAGTTTTATGTCTGTAACTCAAAGATTCTAGATACTCAGAAGCCAGGCACTATACCTTTCTTACAGATATCCAAGACCACATTAACTATTTTTGCTGTTTGTCCTCAACTTAAATTCAAAATTATTTTTAAATAAACATCTATTAAAGCATGTCATTCACTCATTCATTCATTAAACATATGTTATACATTATACATGTACTGAGGGGTACCAGTTATCAGGACCATACTAAGGTAGGAGAAGACAAACGTAAGACAGAGTCCCTGCCTGCAAAGATCTCACTAGCAGATCATCCTGGTTCCTGGCAGCAAAGCTCTCCCAGCCCTGTGGGAAAATCAAATAAAAAATTGTAAAGAATGTGACAAAGGTGAGTGGAGTGGTCAGTTCAGAGAGCTTGGGGACCTACAGAAGGGATCTCCAAACTGCGTAGATGTGCCTGAATGACTTTATCATTCCCCACACAAACTCTGATTTCCTTCTCCTGAGTTTTTATACACTCCTCATCTTCTCTTCGTGCTTTTCTTCTCTCCACAATAGCCAGAGCAAATAGCAGCTTGTCAGTGTGGCCTCCGTGACTCCCTTGGCAGTCTTCCTAGTCCTGGTATTTCCATGTTATTTCTTAACTGCCCACACAAGTCTGTCTTTCCTTTACCCTAGGAGCAATAAGAAGGCAGAAAATTCGTGCCTTGCTACTTCTTTTCATTTATTCAACAAACATTTATTGGGTGCCTACACCACACCAGACACTGTTCTAGGTGCTGGTGTGTAGTGATGAAGTGGATATCAGGTGTCTGCTATCAGGCTCACAATCTAGCGTAAGAGGTAGGGGTGAGGATTAACCAAACAATAAACGATAACAACAAAACTGAAAAATTATAAGTTCTATTTACAAAACTAAAAATAGAATGAGGTGCTTCAGGGTGTCTGGGTGGTTAGTGCAGATTGAGTCCCTCCAAGGACAGTGTAGTATTTAAAACTTGGCCTCTGATGCAAGACAGAAACGAGCCCCAGTCTAAGCTCCACTTTACTAACTACTTAACCTTTGGCAAATCGTCTAATTTCTTTCTGCCTCGTATTTAAAATGCAGAGAAAAGTGTCCTCTCACATCCAGTGTTACAAGACGTAAGATAATCCATGCTGTTCTTAGAACAATGACGTGCCCTGAGTAAGCATTCAATATATGGAATTATCCTTAAGGGATATAGTAAATATTTTTGTAGAAGAAATTAAGAAAAAGAAACCATATTTAATCAGTTAAATAAAGCATAATGGTGATCGTATGGTTAGAGTTAAAGGACCCAAGCATCACACTCAAAGGAGTCTCTCTTGTATCTTTTGGAGACAAGAGAGCTGGTTATGGAAAAATAAGGCAATATAGAGTTAAGAAACAATACAGCTTCTCTAATTTTTCTCAAATAGGTCCTCTGGCATCATATCTGAACAAGAGGGAAGACTATTCTTTCATTTTCAAAGAGGTTTATCCTGATGCAGCACATAACATTGAACCTCTGTGTGTTTCCAGGCACAGGTTGAGTGAGTCAACATTGCAGTGACTTTACAGGGCTGAATTCTTTACTTTCATGAGTCCTTGAGAAGTCAATGCAAACTTTCAAAATATAGCAGATATTATCTTAAACTCATATTAGACTCTACTAATGTTTATCTTCCAAAGCCATTTCTCTTTTGCAATGTCATATAGCACCTGCACCAACTCTTACTGTTTCTCAATTACAGTAGACATTTCAGTTATATAATTAGTTATCTGGATATCAATAAGGAAAACCTTTTCATTGAATTAATTGCTATCTTTATATGAGCATACACATTATATGAAGGATGAAAGATTGTGTAAAGTAATGGTATTGGTTTTGTAACCAATGCATAAATTCACAAATGAATATGACCCTTTGAACTTAGCATCAGGAAGGTTTGGGTGACATGCAGCCCACCCTTCCAGCCTTACTCTGGATGAAAATCTGCTTTACTGATCCACCTAATCTGGGTATGTTACCTTGACTGATATCTATCTCCAGTTATTTTTAAATGTAAGTTATTTCAATTTACATTTTTCATTTAACTTTTTTATTAGTGTTTATTTCTCTTCCATCAGGTAAGAAGCAAAGGAAATAATGCTTTCCTTTATTTTCCCAAATTAAATTCAGCACAAGAACCTAACTCAGAGTTAATGAGAAGTCCAAAACCAGGTGTTATCGGGGAGGAGGAGGGAGGGACAGGAGCAAGTCCCGGTCCTCTCTTCCCAGCAGCCCCATTGCCTTTGCTAGGCTTTCAAGTCTTCTGATCCACATGAAGCTTGGCCACGGTGCTCTCCTGAAGCAGCCACTCTCAGGACCCACACAATCAACCCATTCTGCACAACACATTCCAAGAAGAGGGTTCTGTGCCCTTCCTCTCCTTGGGTGTCTCCTGGGCTTTCTCCCTTTCTCAAGCTCCTAGCCACCTTTTCCCTTCACCTCATGATGTCTCCAACCTCCTTTACAGCTCTTCTCTGCCACACTTCAACTTAATCCTCCTCCATGAATTTAAGACCTTGAAAACAGGGCTTTTTATGAGCCCAGCTATGAAAACAGAGAACAGAGTACTGCCCCAAATTGTCACCACAGTATGTGAAATTATTAGTAAGTATATTACATAAATAACACTTGTTCAGTAAAATTAGAAAATACAGACAAGCCAGAGACATAAAATAATCCCAACCACAAGAGATAAACACCATAGTGTTTGTGTATTTCCTCTCAAGTATTTTCTGTGAATGTATATTGAAGTTTTTGTTAGATAAGAAAATAATTTTTAATAAACTGAGTCTTCACTAAAGAACAAGCTACAAAGTTTCACTTAAGCATAAGTTATTAAAGTACACAAACACACAGGGTGGTTCTTGTGTAAGTTTCAATCCTCAGACAGGAATCAGAAAGGCCTTCAGAGAGCTTAGCTGAGGCTCTCTCAGCTTCCTTGGCATCTTCACCTTTCTTGCCTCCATATCACTGATTTTCCACCATCTGCCGGACTACTTACACAGGGCCCTCCCAGTCTCAGCACTCCTGCCCACTTGCAAGGTATCTCAGTCTTACAAGTCTGCAGCAGTCCACATTTACCCATAAAGCATGCTGACCTCATCAACAGTTCTCTCCTTGATTGTCCCTGTGCCCAACTTGTATCTACCTAGACCCAGACCCAGCTGAAGCTTTACCCTCCACTCACCTTGAGAAATTTTCTTTTCACTCTATAGAGGCCTCTCTCTGACCTCTAGGCTAGAGAAGGTTTTGGCTGTTTAACCATCCCATGCCTGAACGTACCCAGGTCACTACTGCGGTTCTCCAACAGTTTGCATTTGAGTTAAAGTTGGCTAATGATGGTGCTAACCTCTGAGCTGTTTCCTAACCTGGGACTCTCCTTCCCTGCCTTGATTAGTGTGAGTAAAACACCATTCATTGGCATTAAATGAGGCATTTAATT